TGTGCTGCGGCCTATACACGCACGCGGCCTATACATGCGTAAATACGGTAAACATTAAGTTATCGACTACGAGTTTTCTTGTATATGTACAGTAACTTTTAAAGGGCAATGTCGCTTCAAAAAATTCAAGTAGCGAAAAAAGAACTATTGAAAGTGAGCGCCGTGTTTTTCAAGAAAAATGGGAAATCGCTTATTTCTGTTGTGAAATAGAAGGTAAAATTACATGTTTGATTTGTGGACAAAATATAAGTGTTCCACTTTAGGTAATTATATTGAAATTATTCCTAAATAATAAATAGAATTAAATTTCCTTGTATCAAAATCTATTGTATATTTTTATTTTGAAGTGCGGCCCTCGACTATTATTTAGATGGCTGAGGTGGCCCTCTGTACAAGTAGAGTTTGACATGCCTGATGTAGAAGATGAACATGACGTTGGCTGAATTGAATCCTTGTATTACTTTTACGAAATTTTGCATCGGCCATTTGCTGATTCATTGTTATTGTCTAGCCTTTCTTTGGACACAAAAACAAATGTTCCCTTTGGCTCTGGTTGGCATTATTTTCGTGGTCAGAATACCGCTAACAAGCGTTCTTGTGAAGTTGAAATGATCCATTTTCTGATCAGGATTTACGATAGTGTGAACTGTCCACGCTGCAGTTTTCATAATGTTCAGCTGTTGCGCAATATTGTACAATGCCATTTTTCGATGACATCGCAGCCCCGTACTGAGATATTAATCTGTCCAGAATATCCACTCCGCCCGTATGTTGGCTCTAATTCTTTATCAGAGCAGGTTGTGATACTTGGATATGCTTCTTTTAATTCTGGCTGAATCTGCCTACTACACTCTTGGCATGCAGTATATCAGGCACCCTTCGACAGCAAAATGCCAGCTTCCATCAGCAACGAAAACATTAATAAAGAAGTAAAAAACAGAGAATATGATCCTTCCCAGTAACGCATAAGCAGATTCCTTTTCGACCACAAATTCCATTTTTGAGGAAAAGAATACTAAAATGTGTTCCTTGATGGTAACAATGGACCTGAAATATCATAGAATGCCTTTGCTAGGCAACGGCTCGATAAACCCGTTTCGAGGAAACGGATTGGTACGCAACAATAGAATAATTTTTCGAAATTGTGTTTTCTATGTAGTCGGTGTCGAGGTTATATAACTAAGCAGTGAGTGAAAATATTTCGTGTGTACTGTAGTGTTTTGTGGAGTGTGTGGATTATTTACGGTGCTGTAATTATATTTAGTTGCGAGTCACAAGCTTTCAATAATTCGAATCCCCGTGTCTATTCGCGAACTCGTGACAACTGGTTAGAAGTGGGACTTTGTCGCTGACTTTTGCGAAAAGTTTATTTGAAGAATGGCAAAGAAGCTTATATATATATTTTTCGGGCTGTGCATATGCTCGTTATTTATGAAAGATTCATATGCTTTCCAATATGCAGACCGTGGATGGAAAGACCAGCCCATTGAAGGGAGATATACAAGAGACATTCAGGACTACGAGGTACTGGTGCCACGCAAAATCGATCATCAAGGTTCTTTCGTATCCTACTCTCTGCCGCATTTCTTTGAGCGAGATACTTCAAGAACAAAAAGACATGCTCGTTTGGATCATGAAAAAGTGCATTATGGTATTCATTTTGATGGAAAAGACCATTTGGTGGAACTGTGGCCCAACCACGGGTTATTTTCACCAGGAATGGTGCTGGAGACTCGAGCTTCGGGAGCTGCCACCGACTTGAACAAGCTGAAGATTCGATCTGTGGAGGATAAGAATTGCCATTACACCGGAAGGATTAAGGGAGAACATGACTCACGGGTCGCGCTGTCTGCCTGCGATGGGCTAGCAGGTCACATCAAGACTAAACAGAGTCACTACTACATCGAGCCTGTGAAAGATCACGAACCAGAAGAGGACGGTCAACACTTACATATAGTCTATAAGAGAAGCATAAATCATAATAAGAACAAACGATCGTGTGGAACGAGTGATGACTGGGAAACCGCATGGTCAAACCGTTTAGAAACCGAGTACCGCCAAAGAGGACCTGATACTGATTTAAAAGCTGAAACTGTTCAGAGACGCGCCACCGCCCGTTCCATGCAAGGGCATTATCTTGACAAGAGATCTGGAGAAGGAAGTACCAACTACTTGGAAACATTGGTTGTGGTAGATAAGAAGTTCTTGCAGGCCCGAAATGGCACCGATTATGAGCAATATATCTTCACGGCTGTGAACATGGCCTCTGACATCCTGCATGATGACACTGTTGGATATCAACTAGATTTAGTGTTAGTTCGTGTCATATATCTGGAAAAGGAAGAGGAGGAATTTGATCTTACAATCAACAGAGACGCTGATGCAACTTTAACAAGTTTCTGCAAATGGAGCAAAAGGATGAATCCTATGTTAACACATCCAAACCATCATGACATAGCTGTCCTTATTACGAAGTATGATATTTGCGCAGGATGGGATGATTGTGGGACTGTTGGACTTGCTAATGTTGCGGGATGCTGTGGGCCTGAAAGTTCCTGCGCTATCTGCGAGGACACAGGCTTAGTTGTCGGCACCGTAATTGCACATGAAATAGGACACTTGTTGGGTTCTAGCCACGACTCAGACGACGACCATCCGCCAGTGGGACAATGTCCAGGAGCAGTAGGCGATTACAACATTCATGTTATGGCATCATGGTCTCAGGTTTCACCTGCAAACTGGTCGATTTGCAGTAGGAAATTTATCACCGAATTTTTTGAGAACGGCCTAGGCGAGTGTCTTTTAGACGAACCTAAAGACCATGATTTTAAACTACCTCAAATGCCTCCAGGTGTTGTGTACGACCGTGAATGGCAGTGCAATGACTACTACGGACCTACTAAACCTTGTGACCTGGGTCCGGATAGAAATTGCAAACATCTGACTTGCGCACCTGAAGGTTCCGATCAATGCCGTACGAAGGGTCCACCAGCTGATGGAACAAGCTGTGGAAATAATAGATGGTGCTTTGGGGGCAATTGCGTTGAAGTCGGCACAAGGCCAGGCGCCGTCAATGGTGAATGGGGAGAATGGGGAGAGTGGTCTGAATGTTCACGGACTTGCGGTGGTGGCGCTTCTTACGCTGAACGTGAGTGTGACAATCCTAGACCCAGAAACAATGGACGATACTGCGTTGGGAAACGTCGTCGTTACCGAATGTGCAATACAGAGCCGTGTGACCAAAACGCGTTAACTTTCAGAGAGGTCCAGTGTAAAGAGCACAATAAAGGTGACGTCACGTGGGTTCCACATAGTGATGGCAAACCTGAACACGTGTGTGCATTGATGTGTTTGAACAACAAATATGTGTTTCAGACTCTGGAACGCAGAGTGAAGGATGGAACTCCATGCAAGAGAGGTACTAAAAACAGATGTATAGCTGGAAAATGTAGGAATGTTGGGTGTGACTGGGTCTTTGACTCTGATGCTGTAGAAGATATCTGCGGAGTATGTAATGGCGACGCTTCCACATGTGATATCGTTGACGAAGTGTACAAAGAAAGTGGAAGAGATTATCAGAAAATTGCAACTATACCAGCGGGCGCTAGACAAATCACGGTGGAGGAGATGAAACCGAGCCAAAACTTCTTAGCTCTTTCTGCAGCAGATGGGAAGACATTTTATCTCAATGGAGATCACACGATTGACACTAACGGAGAACGAAAAGTCGCTGGAACAATCAGTGTGTACAGTAGCGTAGAGCCTTTGAAGGAAAGTTTGGTCATCGCGGGTCCCACTACAGAAGATCTCATTCTATACATCCTGAATAATGTGGATCCGAATCCAGGTATACACTACAAATACTCCATTCCCTCAGAGTCTTCAAGTTATAAACCGACATTTCACTGGGAGTTCGTCGAGTGGAGCCCTTGCAGCGTTTTCTGTGGAGGAGGAACACAGTTTTCCGAACCGACCTGTATTGAAAAAAGGGGAGGAAAAGTGTCAAAGAAACACTGCGAACAAATTCCAAAACCTGAAGTGAGTACAAAAGTATGCAATGAACAGGCATGTAAAATCAAATGGCGAACTGGTACATGGAGTAAATGTAATGGCTGCATTGACAACCCAGGTTATAAATACAGAGTTGTTCACTGTGTTAAACAATCTCCGTTTGAAGACAGCGAAGTTATTGTTGAAGAAGACGACTGTAAGAAACAGAAGCCTTCTAACAAAGAATCATGCACCAGCAACGAACCATGTGGTGAAAGGCCTCCGAAACGTCAAGTATATTTGGATGACGAATTAGAGGATCTTGAGGACAATGTATCGAGAAGAAGTGCTTCCTCAAATTGTCATGAAAAGAAGACGAAACAAATTGTAAAAGAAAATAATTGTAAGAAACATGGTAAGACCGATGAAAAATATGGAGCAGATGACAGCGGAGAAAGAAGCGGTGGGGACAGGAAAGGAGAAAGAAACGAAAAAAAGATAATCCATGGAGGAAGAAATAAATGCAAGGGTAAGACTAACCCCAGGAAGACAGAATTGATAGTGGATAAAGGGAATCCTGACAAATTAAAATATATCGAAATACCAATGGAAGAAGACGTAAATGATTTTAATTTCTCAGAAGAGGCTCTTGAGAATGTGGGTGATAAAGTATCTAGCCCCATAGATGCGAAGAGAGTTAAAGAATTCAAGGGAGATGAAGCACAAAGAAAGCTACAAGATAAAAAGAAAGAGAACGAAGATACAGATGAGAAACAAGACGAAAACGAATATGTATATTAGAAAATATTTACAATTATGGAAAATTGAAGATCTAATATAATTATTGATAAACATATGTATAAGATGAAATTCTTGTTCAGGGTTAAGTTTTGCGACCTGTTATACCGTAATTCCGACTCTTTCTAACCTCAGGTATTGTTAGTTAACCAAACTTACGTTGTATCCAGTTGAACTGGGTCACTGTGCTTCTTCGATAAGCATTCCTGTGTTTTTCACAAGCCGCTGTTGCCTTACTTTCGTAAGCCTGAAGTAGTTCTATATAGCCCATGCTTGTCATATGCACGTCAACCAGTTTAAATTTTCCGTCAGATTATTACGATCACTTGTATTTCAATGTTTGAATTTGATATTTGTAATTGTGTACCAGTGTAAGTTCGTACAGATAACAAATTGTTCTTTATAATTGTTTCCGTGTTTTGTTTTGTAGAGTTGTTACCTATGATACTGTCATGTGTATGAGTTACTTACAGGATGAGATTTGGACTGCTAATTTAATTTATTGAACACGTCTTGTACAATCACTCATAATTACAATAAATTGCAGTAACTCACAATAAATCTTCAGGTGAACACTGAGCCGCCATTCTCCTACTCGAGACTCACGTAAGGGTCATTCCATGTAAAGTCATCCAGAGAGGTCGCCCACTATTTTTGTAAAAAAATTCAAATTTTGTACATTTCTACATATTTTCACACCTCAAAAAAAATGGTGATCCGCTCGGTTCTCCCGGTACAGCCGTTTTTATAATGCGAAAAAACGCGTTTTCGGATCAAATGGAGGTTTGCGTTATCTTCTGTATCTCGATAACTATTGCAGCTAGAGACTCCAATGAAAAACCAATTTGTTCCTCATGACATGGGCAATAAGTCATACCTTTACAAGGTTTTACTCAACTCACTTCCTTTAGGTGTAATTAAGCTTGAATCTTACCTATCGATTTTGGGAAAATCGGTACTTTTGACCTTCAGAAACCAATGGGAGGGGGAAATTTCAGATCTGTGGTTTCTACCCTTTGTTTTCTCCTACATGAAGAATATAATCACATAGTTTTGAACACCGTACCTATTTTCTAAAATTTTCCAGGAGCTTCCAAACTTTGCTTTGGGCCCAAAATCGGCTATATTTAACGTCTAATATCTCCGGTGGGGAAGTTCCGAAAAATTTTAAACTCATAGCAGATAATGCTTTATTCCAGAGTAATATGGAGTTAAAATTACAACTTTGATATTCAACTAATAGCGAAGTTCTTATAATGCGAAAAAACGAGTTTCGGCTGAAATGGAGGCTTGCGTTATCTTCCATATCTCGATAACTATTGAAGTTAGAGACTCCAGTAAGAAACCAATTTGTTCCTCATGACGTGGACTATAAATCATAGCTTTATAAGGTTTCACTCAACTCACTTCCTCTAGGTCTAATTAAGCTCGAAACTTACCTATCGATTTTGGGAAAAACGCTATTTTTCACCTTCAAAAACCAATGGGAGGGGGAAAGTATCAGGTCTGTAGTTTCTACCCTTTGTTTTCTCCCACATGAAGAATATAATCACGTAGTCTTGAACACCGTTTTTATTTTCCAAAATTTGCCAGGAGCTACCAAACTTTGCTCTGAGCCCAAACTCGGCCATTTTTAACATCTCATATCTCCAGTGGAGAAGCTCCGACGAATTTGAAATTCATAGAAAATAATTCTCTATTCTAGAGTAACTTGGAATTAAAATTCCAACTTTGATATTCAACTAATAGCGAAGTTGTGGGCACTTTCAATTTTACCAAAAAAATCAATCAATTAGGTGCCTAATAAGCAGCAACAGGTCCACAAACTGAGCTGTACTTGCCCCAAAGCATTTCGTCACCATAGTATGAAAGCTACACATCAATAAAACAACTAATTTTGTCATAATTTTCTTTTATTTCTTGATACCTCTAGCCCAGACATCCTCGAAGTAACATGTTTCATAGACTCCACTCAACTGTTAACGCTACAATATTAAACTATTCTATTGCCATATTAAGTCATCTTCATTCTTACTAAGTTAATACTGTAGCACAAATTAGTATTTTCAGCACTAATTTTTAAATTCCATTTCTGAAAATTATTTTGTCATACTCTTCCTCACCCTCCCTCCACAAGTCAGTGAATTAAATTTTATGATATGTACAACATACCAACTCTTTCTGGACAGATAAAGGACAGAATATGCACTATTTATGCTCTGGAATATAAAATGACACAGGAAGATGTCCTATGGTATATTTTATGTCAGCACATTGAAATTGTGTTCAACTGGAATAAAATAAATATTACACCCATTCCCATTTTAATTTGTATGAATTGGGAATTCAATGATTGGTTTAAAAGCATCCCATTTAGACACTGAAAGTAGAACGTATTTAATGGCTAGTGAAGAATTGCAACTGCATAAGATGTATATATTCCCAGTTTGTGGCAAAATTGAAAAGTAAATTCCACAAATTCTTCACAGACCCTAGAAACACTACTGTGGGTTAGACCATTTCATGGAACACCATCATGGTTGTTCTAAAGCAGTTCAACCTGCAAATGAAAATAAATATCCATCAGTTCTCTCTTCCTTTTTCTTTTCAGATTAAATAATATAAAATTAATGAAAGTACATTTCCAGTTCAAAGCTAAGTAAATATAAGATATATGACACAATTATCATTAATAAAAACAATCCATATAAATTCTAAACAAAGTATGGCAATGTGTGTGCTGGAAACAACTGGTATATATTACAAAAACTGTTCTATTAACCATGCAAACACAAGATATGAACACAAATCATACTTCTCCCTTCTTCTCTCATCACTCATACACAAATGACTTTGCAGTAATTAACACACATTATCAGGATGGATGCACTTTGAGTCTAAATACAACAGAGGGTGAAACACGATACTTTTCAAACAAATCTGTATAAAGAGTCCTATCTTCTGGGATATAACGCCATGTGGTCTGTTGAAAGTTAACCCATGATTTGGAAGAACACAATGCCTCCATTTTCAGGATCAAATTAGATGAACAAGCTACCAGCATGAAAGCCGCTGGCACCTTTGCTCATCATATTCCATTCTGAAGATGAAGGTGATATATTCCTCCAAAATGTCAGTTGACTTTCGAAGGACTACACCACGTTATTTCCCAGATGATAATATTCTTCATAACCACAGTTGTAAGAACCTCAAATCCTACAAATCTGTACAAAGTAATGCATAATATGTGAAGGGTAAAGGTGTCTGTACACACTGGGTAACCTGAAAATTTACCTACTTACAAATTATGTAGCTGCTATTCTTACCACAAACAGAAAATCTGTCCCCATAACTCACTGTTAAAGGCTTCCAAAATTACATTCGTGATCGATTCCTCCAACTTCTTTTTCAAACCCACTTTTCGATCAGACTGAAGCCTGAAAGGCGAAAGTATGGCTAGAATGTATGATGTCTCATGTTAATATTTACTATCTCTAATCAGCTATATAACTTTATTTAAATGACCTGATTACTGTAATCATTTTGGTGATTTGTATTAAATGAGAACATTGTAAAAGTGTTCCCATTTAGTAATATAACCTTAAAAAGTTTCCAGTTTTCTCTCCTTCCTCCATACAAATGCATATCAATTTCAAGTGCTAAGTCTGCAGAAGATCTGGATCTTGAGAAAAGGTGGTCACAGTCATAAAGTCAGGGACTAAACAAACAATGGTGGGAAATCTTTGGATAAAATAATATGTGACCAACTGCAGAAACAAACACAAATGTGTTTCACAGAGCCATTTATGTTAAACAGATATTTGCATATTTCAAGCATGTTAATTTTCAAGGCTTTCAATCTCTTTTTGGCTGTGTCACTTGTTTTAAGTGACATGTGCAAACAGCAAAGCCTGTTTAAATCACTGTAAGTAAATCACATTTTCCTTAGGAACATTATTTTTCTCCTTGATTACAAACACTGAAATACACCATTCATATACTCCACCCTAAGCATAAATGATTATAGAACATAATCCTCTTTTGTACACAAATCATGTTAATGATATGGACAATTTCTGGAATTATGAAACTTCAAAATTATGCTGTATCAGTATAACTCTTTACATTATGCATAAGATATACAGACTCAGATGCATGGTTATATACAATAAACTTCCAATTATCCAACATGTATGGGGACTGGAGCGTGCTAGTTACAGGAATCTGCCAGTTGTATGGGAAAAGCTCCTACAGAAATCAAATATGATGTGGGAACAACACATTTTGACTGTAGTTTACATGTGGGAGGCTCCCTAGATAACTCTGCATTGATGGGTGAAAAATGTTGGATATGTATACTGTAACACTATCACAAATTCAACTGGCTTCTTCTGAAACTGCACATGCATGATGAAGGAAAAGAGGTAATGCTAATTGTGGCGAGTGGCAGAGCTACCACATGGTGGCTGAACACATGTGCATCACAAATATTTTTTTAACAACTTTATAATGATGGCAAACTTTCTTTTAAATTTTTGCTGGTTGGATATCTGGGAGTTTACTGTGGATCAGGGGAGAAAAAATGCTACTGAATAGATGGTACATATATATTTTCGTAAGTTGCATCCTTTTGAGAGAATCAGAGTTACAAGGCATACATCTGTCATAACAAAACAATATATTTTTTAATAATTTACCTCAATAACATTCACTCTATTGCATATTCTCATTTGATCATCCAATGATGGTTTTTCATAAAACTGAAATATGTAGTGGAAAACTGTGAAGTAAATCATTAATAACACACTGTTTTATGTAAGGGACATGTAGCTTGAAATTTTGTCACTACATATGTATGTAAGATTTGAGGTTTTCACGGCAATGACTATGAAGATTGCCGTCTTCTGGGATGTGATCCCATGTAGATATTGTATAAACAGACGTTTCTGAGGAATATCAATTTACACAATATCTACACGGCACCACACCCCAGAAGATGGCAT